GGGTGGGGGGGGGGGGGGGGGGGGGGGGGGGGGGGGGTGGTATGGCAAAGGTTTCAGCTGTTGAACAGGAGTGGTGTTTCAGGGACACCTATTCCGTACCCCCTCGGCCCCGAGATTTCTGTTCACAGAGATGCTTAACACCCCCCCCCCCCCCCCCCAGTTGACAACATTTAACCCTCACCATCCTCCTGCCCCTGCCAACCTCCCTCACAAACTGCTAACTTTAACCTTCACCATCCCCCCTCCCCCGTGAAAATCTTGATCTCGCATGTCAGAGTAATTCTAGCACCGACCATAGGGGGGCGAAGGTTCTGGATGGGACATGCCCAGACCACTGGCACCTCCTGGCAGCAGTGCTGACCATGGAGATCATGGTCACGCCGTCCAAACTGGATCTGACTAAATGGAGGATGCAGTAATTACAGTGCGCGCTGCATATCTGCTACTCCCATTCAGAGGGAGCCGTATTTTTACTCGTTTGTACAGCCGGATACATCAGTAATTGCAAGTCCAGTAAGTAGAGTAATTAAGGCTGTATAAATAGGGAGAAATACGAGTTACTTTGAATAAAACTGTCGGTTGCTCACCAGTAATTAGGGGAAAAAGCGCATTCGTATCACATTTAAGACGCCTGCAACAATGTCAGTGTTATGGTCACATACACAAACATGCACTGACTGTGAAATTTGGGCATATGTTTTGAAAAAAATGCAGAGGGGGGGGGGCACTTTTGGAGCCAATGGCGTAGGAGAGAGTTTTGTTTGGGGGAGGACAACATAATAAATAAACCTTTAGTCTAAAAACAAGCTAAACTGCTCAAACAAAAAAATCATCCCTGAAAATCACGAGCCCGACACGGGCCTATCCGTTCAGTCTGTCCCGAACGGTGGGGCTTTACAACCAACCTCCTCGTAACAGGAGGACTGCAGCCCCTCCTGCCTGGTGCCCGCAGCCCCCAGGACAGGCTCCTGACCCCCCACCACCCTGAACGGGACAAGCGGCTACAGGAGATGGATGGATGGGTCTGTGATCTTGGAGTTTTCCAAAAGTAATCAGACCAAAGACATGGCTTCCGCTTCCTCACATGCATTCCGTGGGCCTCGAGCACATGTCCAGTCGGCTGACATCTGTGCAGGAGGCACAGATCACAGAGCCATCGAGGGCTGCGAACACTCAAGGCAGTGTCGTTTTAATCAATAAGTAATGGATGCAGCCAAATAAGGGGAAAATGTCCTGATCTGATTAGCAAGAGCCACTCGCCTGCTCGACCTGTGCCAAACGCATATAGGATACTAGCAATGTAGCATCAGGCTGGGGGGGATATTTAATGGTTCTTTTTTTTGTTTAAAAATACAGTGATGAAGAGTCTGCTGTTAAGCCTCCACTCTCACCTTCTGCAATGAAGCATTTTATAATGTATATTTAGTTTAAATACACACGTTTTAATAAACATTTAATAATGTGTGTATGAAGTCATTACCAAACTGCACACATTTCCACAAAGCTGCTATCACATTGTAAGGTCGGCGTTTTATTCCAATTTAATGTCCCCATTTCCGGATGTCTCCTTTGATAGTGCCCATTTTGTGCCGAAATGGCCTATCTATGCCACCCTCGGATGACATAAAACGACAGAAATCGTTTGGAGTAGATTTTGAGACAAAAGGATTTCACGTTTATCAAACAAGGGCATTTTCCACGCCGAAGCAGCCGCGCTAAAGCACTTCACGTCTGCAAACAGCCGTAGTTTCGCCTCATTCAGTCAGAAGGCACAGCTGCCCAGAACATTTAACCGAGCGGCTCAGTCGGTCCAGCCAACAGCAAGCTGCTTTTCTGCTATCAAAAGGGGTAAATTCATTCAGTCTCATTCTGTTTGTATGCATATTTATAAAACAGCTGCCAGCCATTGTTTTGGAAGGTCTAGCAATTCAAGGATGAATTGGGTTGGCTTGTATGTGTGGGCACACGCAAACGACATCACGCACATGCGTGCCAAGGACAGTGCGGCGCTTTCCATAATTATCTGTAACGGCAATCAAAAGCCACTGTATCATCAAGCCGGCAAACACACAGACACCCAGTAGCAGGGCAGCGGGCAGCGCAGGGATGCAGACACGCCACCTGAACGGCCTTGAATCTGATCCCAGGACAGACCTTGTCACAGAACCCTTAAGAATTGTACTTTGTACTTTCTGTGTTTTGCTGAAGCGAAATTTCAAGCTGCTCCAGAAGTCACTTTGGATAGAAAGTGTCAGCTGAACAACCAAGTATTTTTATAGATCACAAGAAGGCTGTTTCTAGTTCAAGAGAGTCTAAGCAGAACATGATAAAAACAGACCATAATGTCCAGTGTGGGTGTTTATAAACCCTGCTGACAGAGACGTGCTCTAATGAATACAGACAGTTTGGGACAACCTAATTATGTATGGAAACACTGCAGCCAGAGAGGGACCAAATCATAAACACTCTGCTCTGCATTTCAAATGTCTGTCTTTTTAAATTGTTTCCTAATTGTCCTGCTCATTGTGTTAATTGCCTCACCAACATAAGTGCTGGACACTTCAATTAAAATCTGAATATGAGCGAACGTCTGTCGGGGCGATTCCAAGCATCATCTGGAAGGGGCAGTACAGTACCTGACCAAAGCTAACGTGGGCTGAATTTGGAAATTGCCAAAAAATTAAGCATTTGGGCAATGAAGGGAGAGCTTAGATGTTCCACAAGTGCTCCTCTGGCATGTGGGCCACGTGTGGCTCATGCCCGGTCCTCTACGGCATGAAGAGGCAGGCCTGGTTTGATTAGCAGGCACGGCAGGACTGGCCAAGCTGGGGAAATGTCACGGTAAACCTGAGAGGAACCGAGAGACACATGGGGAGAGGCTGCACGCGGCGCTGCGCTCCTCCTGCCTGTCTCCCAGCGCCTTGCCGGGCTCCGTACTCGTCACACTCTGCAGCCCACTGCCTGGAGAGGCAGTCTGCTGGGCCGGGGTCACGCCGCGATCACCATGACTCCAGAGCCCTCCCCCGCGTCAAGGCTGTCGCTTCCTGTTAGCGACGGCGGGCGGCTGCCCGCACGTAAGCGGCCGGTGGGCTCGCCCGGAATAAAGACGTGACAGCGGGAGCCCCGCGCCTTCTGGACAGGTGCCGACGTCAACAGGCCAGCTATGAAAAGGAGCAGCCCTTTGGATGGTGAGATTGTGTGGGCAGGGAGCTCGCGATCGAACGGTGTGAAGGGAGGAAGATGACCTCTGTCTCTCTCAGACACAGGCAAACACCCACGCATACACGCACACACATATTCACAGAGGGCAATACACAGCCAAACACCCACACACATTCACAGAGTCAGGCTCACAGTGGCAGGGTGTTTCTTGGCGCGTTAGTGTCTATGATCAGAAGGTCGTTGGTTTGAATCCCAGGACCAGCAGACTGATGCCACCACTGGGGCCCTGAGCAAGGCCCTTTACCCCCCCCACTGCTGCAGGGGCGCTGCTCATTGGCTGACCCCCCCAAGCTTGCTCTCGCCAGTGTGTGTCTCATATAGAGCAAGATGGGATAGGTGAAGAGGGAATTTCCCCACGGGAATGAATAAAGCATTTCTGTTCTGCTCTCTCACCTTGCTGAGCGTCTGGGCCTGTCCCACTAGGATCAGCACGTTGGAGGCCAGGATGGAGAGACAAAAATTGACCAAGATGATGGACCTCTCAGAACGGATGTACCTGCAGAAAAGAGATGCCGAAGGGACACAGAGAAAAAAGCAGACGAATGATCCAAAGTGCCGGTGGTAGGTTTGATGAACACGGCAGTTCCTACGGTTGGTCAACAGTTAATACTGACTCGCTGTGGATGAACTGATGCTGACCCTGAAGTCATAATTGAGCCAAGTCACACAGCGGTTTCAGATGCTGATTTACTGGCAGTATGGAGTGCTTACTCAACCAGTTGAGGTATACCAGGGGACTGACAGCGAAAACATCATCAGGCAATAGTAACACGACGCTATTGATCTACAGTGAGTGCAGGAGAACTGAGGCACTTAAGATTTACCCATAAGCCCCGGTTGCCATGGTGGTAACTTCAATTAGAGAGATGTCAGCGGTGCCCAATGGTCAATCGCTTCCTGTTAAGTTCCTCTACGATCCAGGCCAGTCCAGCAAGACTTGGACCTCATGCACATAAGCATTTACTGCAAGCGTAAGGTGTGGCATTTGCCCAGCTGATCACGCCCACACCCACAAAGAAATAAGAGGAAAGCCCGTTGTCATGGCGACACCAGCAGAGGGCTTGGCAGGCTCACCGCGGACTTGGGAGTGAGGTCATGTGACCCTCTCGCCATCTGCCTACGTGGCGGCACCACCCGGCTCTCACACAGCACTCCTGCTCGTCAGAAGCGCCTCTCATTTGTACGCAATTAGAACTAATTGGGCACTTGGAGCCCATGCGGCCTCGCTGCTGCCAATTCCGCTTTATGCTTTTAGCGAATTCCCCATGAAAAGCTATCCAAAAATATTTAGCAAGGATGTCCGTTATTTTAGGTCTTTGTAAAGGAATTAAAATGGCCTTCCTTGTTTAATGGACAGATAGTTATTTTTCCTTTTGATAATTCAGAATTATATTGGAGAATTTAAACAGGATAAGATCGATTTGCGACACGAAGCCCAGCCTCGATCCTGAAAACAAAATTCAGAGGAAATAATAAAAATCTCCTATGGTGTCGGGTGTGGGACTGGCTCATGTTCCGCTCCACCCTCAGAAGTCTGTCATATGACCATTTTAATTGGGTCCTGGACTGTGTGGTTTTAAAAAAAAAATCTAATGCTGGACTATGTAGTTTATTTTGTGTTTTTTAACAGTGCATCGTGCTACTGTTACTACACTATATTCAATTTACTATCAACATTTTTTTTGTGAAATAGAGTTTGTTCAAAATATCTTTGAAAGGGATGTTGCAGAGATAGAATCTCTGTGGTCACATGGCCCCCTGGAGGGGGGGGGGTTGCATGTAGGATTATGTGGGGGCCATGAGTTGGACATACAGCCAACTCTGGGCGAAGTGGAATTGCCAGAGGAATGGAAAAAGAGAAGGAGTGGAACAGGGAAGGGGTCAGAAAAATGAACAAATACAGAAAATAAAATAATATCAAAACACAACGAAAATGACTAATAGACCATTATGATGTTTCTCTGACTGAATAGTTATATACAATATGATCATGTAAAGACATGTAAAGATAGTAAAGACATGAAAAGGCCACAGTAATGTGACTAAACAACCATCTAAACATTCAGAGCACGTGTACAAACGTGTTTGATGCATGCATTTCTGAAACAGTATGCTAATGCTTTTTGACCTTAACCTTTTGCAGAATATAGAGAAGCTGGTCTCATAGCAGTCGCCTACACATCCATAACAGGCGTGCAAACGGATCACATCTTATATGAATAATGCATCCATTCGCTAATGAGCCACAGCCTCGCTTTTCATATGCTCATAAAATCTGTGTTTATCTAAATCGTAATGTAAGCTTGGGGAAATCGGTAAATGTGCATCATGCATCATGCACTCGTCTCCCTCGAAGATACCGGCTTCCCTGTCGTTGACGAACATACTTGAAGCTCGGACTACCTCCTCACGCAAGCAACCATGCCCGCGGTCAGTTACAAAATCGGCACAGTCCCAGAATCCACTGGGACAGAACAAGTACCTGAACCCAACCTCGATTCACGGTATCCTGCGGAGACCTGGTACACTTGTCAGCACTGATCTGAACTGCAGTGTGCCTCTCCGATGGTAACGACTGGTAATAACTGTATATATATTTTTTGCAAATTCCAAAAAGGACACTTTACATGTCAGAGCAAAACAGGCCAGCAGCTGAAGGGTATGTGCCCCCCCCCCCGGACACAGGGAATGGGAATGACAGGCGGTATAAAGTTAGCGCACTGGTAATGGGCAGGATCGGCACAGTGAACGCAGCGTGAGACGCACCTCCAGAAGACGGCGTAGATGAGGAGCAGGACGAGCAGGGCTGTGAAGGAGATCCCACAGCCCACCATGAGGGGCACCGACGGCATGCTGGATGGTCCCACCTCCTGCAGGGAGGAGGAAAGAGAGGGAGGGAGAGAGGGAGTAAGAGGAGGAGTGAGCATGAGAGAGGAAGATGAAGGAAGAGGATGAGAGGAGAGGAGGTAGCACAGCAACAAAGGGGAATGGGAAGAAGATGCCAGAAGGAATGGCAAGAAAGAGGAATTGAGGAGGAAAGAGGAGGAAGAAAGCGAGAGGATGAGGGAAGGGACAGAGAGAGGGAAGAAGAAATTAAAACAGGTGCCTTTAACAGTCCAAGCGCTCACACCTTACAGGTACACAGCGCGAATAAGGGAAGCAGAGCAGGTGTTCTCAGCTCTGAGAAACAGGCCCAGAATGACCTCTGACCTGTGACCCCCGACCCATGACATGAGAGAGTGACAGGTGAGGTGAGACCACGGCACTGCACACTTTCATTCCCCTGCCACCCCGCAGGTGATCCAGTGGCTCCAGTTCTTCCAGTGCCCCGTAACACCCCACGTTTAACTCCCCCCTGCATCTATTCAGTTTAAGGAGGCCAGCAGAAGGACGGTCATGGTCGTCATTATTTACCCGATTTGTGTGACTCCAGCACTCTCCCTACCATGCTCTGTCATTACAGTCTTACACGACATTTTCATCTCGTAAATATGTTTACTTTGTGGCACACAATTAAAGAAACAGCACAACATAACACACACACACACACACCTACATGTCAAAGCAGGGTGATGTAGAAACCAATATCCCAAAATATCACAGTTAAAATTTTCTGCCACACTGGTACATATTGCATGAGGTTCTGATGAAGTGTGACAAATTGTACTAAGTGCCATTCCATCTGTTCACTTTGTGACCTTTGACTGTTACCTTGGCGCCACATGCCATCGCGCTCAGGTTGACTACACAGATGAACTACAGCTGTGGTTCTGCTCATCCTCCTGTACTGTCCTGCCTGTTTGCTGGGGCTCTAGCTCTCCAGCCGTAGATGTAAACCCTGTTCACTGCTCTGAGGCACCCGATGGTTTCCGTGATCTCAAGAGCACCCTGAGAGGCAGAGCACAGATATCACAGGCCATGTTTATTCAACAAGGATGACATCTATTTGGATATTTGGATTGCGCCGAAGAACCATCTCTGGCGGAGAACAGATTGATGAAATCAAAACACTTTGCCCTCAAAGCACTCTTTTCAGATGCCAGATAAACAGCTTAAATAGGAAATAAAAGCAATTGCGTTCACGGTTGCTCATAAAGCTGCTGCTTTTCCCATAATGCTCATTCTCTTCTGTCATATACTCACAGCTTACGCTGGTATACAGCTCGCCCTGCCCTTGCTTTCCACTCTCCAGTTTATAGCATTCATCACCCCTACGATCAATGGCTATATCCCAGCATTTTAAGTGCACCCCGCGAGGGTTGGGTTGGAGTGTGCGCGTGTGTGTGATGAGATTCACCAAACTCCACTGCATTAAGCAACACCATTTATTTCCCATCGCTCATCATTCCACTTGAAGCGTTGCAGCCTGGCATGCGGGACCACACTTCAACTCGTTTCATCATATGTTACTTGTATAACCACTTGTCATATGCAGGGTTGCAGGGGTCTGGTGCCAATCCTAGAAGCTAGGGGTACAAAGCAGGGAATAACCCAGGATGGGGCACCAACCCATCGCAGGGCACATACGCCATACACTATTCACACCTATGAACAATTTGGTAACTTTAATTCACCTCGGCATGTTTCTGGACTGTGGGGGGAGATCGCAGTACCCGGGGGAAATGGCCAGGGCGTCACGTACTCTACTTTTTTAAGCCATAAAATCTTCCACCGTGAAGCATGGCTCTCTCTCTTGCACCGATGCTGGGCCAACCTTGAACCGAAACGTCTTCGCCTCTCTGTTAAAATCCCACATGCTTAAGTCAGATTAACTCTTCGAAATCTTGACTTCCGCGCGACCACGCGGTCGATTAGCGCCGGATAACCGGGCCGGCATGCACATGCCGCGTGATTGAATGCGGCAGGCGTAGACCACAGGTTCATTCACGCTCGGTAATGAATCTGCCGGCTTTCTTCCCCCTCGACAACAGCGGCCCAAGGTCACCAAGAAGGATGCTTAAGGAAGAAAACCTTGATTTACAAAAGCGTGAGCGGATCCATGTTAACCTTTGGTGTCGCCTGTTAGCCCTAACGGCAGAAGCGACAGCAGCGAGGGACAGGCAGCCGCAGGATGACTTACAACCGCCGGAGCAGATAATCTGCTCGCTGTGCTCTGATTACGATTGACACTCCTCATCTGGAGCTGTGGAGTGGGACCAGAGCGATTCGTCTGGCACAATATGGAACGTCGCCGGTGTATTTTCACAGTCCCACGTCTGACCCTCACACAGATGTCGAAATTCATCCCACCCCCACCCTGTCAGATTCGGTTTTCTCGGGCTGTTGGCCCGACTCGGCAGGGACCACCCTCCCAGTGCACAATGGGACCGCATAGCAACTGATGAGCATTTAATGCAGCCAGGCAAGAGCAGAACCAGCTCTCTCAATCTGCACCAGCATCTCAAATCAAAAAACCATATAGGGAAGAGAACTGGAAAAAGAAAACAAAATGAAAACCAAAAAACCACTTTAATCAACCAACCGTAGACGGAGGTCCCTTTTCATCAAGAGAAAGCAACATGAGAGCTAGGGGAAGGAGCCCAGTTTGTTTATTCTCGATTCATAACGGTCCATCAAATATACCTGTGTCTGGCAGCAGAGGGGGCGGATGTGGTATCTGAACAATCCAGAACTTCCGAGAAAGAAATATACAGTTAATGTTAGCAATTAGACTGGGTTTGGAGAAGGACATTTTCCAGTACAGCAAGAGAGCAGTCTTGTGTATGTACATAAAAGGACCCTCTCGATTAAATTTTTACAGTGATAGGGCCCAGAAAATCTGAAGAAGCCATTTCTCACTGATGGCTGCAGATCGACGGGCTTAATGTGCAAGATAATGGTGCCATTTGATGAGTCGTTAATGAAAAGCAGGTGGAGAGAGGGTCTTCCAGTGCCGTCAACCACTACTAGAGTCAGAAGGATCATGACTGTGTGGAACCAAGCTAAAATGACAGAAACACTGTGAAACTTAAAGTACTGGGCTCAGTTATTGTTAACAGATAATTAGGCTGGCTGACATATGTGAAAACCTTCTATAGGCAAAGAATATCAATACTACCCAAGCCAATTAAGTAAATTCAGGCTGCAGAAAATGCCATTTTAGAGATGAGGTTGAATATTTACTACCTGTTTTATGGGAGCATATTTCTGCTGAAGAAAAATGGCAAACAGCCAAATTATGAATTCATACTAACAATGAGACTGCACCCATTTTGGGAAACCTCCGCACTCGATCATGTAAAAACAACAGCGATGCGATGTTTTACCTCCCCTGGGGACCGTAGCCTTTCAGATCACAGGAGAACACTTTGGGGGGTGGGGGAGCACAGAAAGCTTAACCTACTTATTGTGGCAGTCTTCGACGGTGAGCTCTCCTTCCACACTCCCTGGGACGTGAATCACGGTGTCAGGTGGCAGCACTGAGCAAGGCTGAGGGCCAGAGGTCGGTCACATCCACATCCTTCTGTGTGTGCCCATCCTTCCACTCAAGAAGTTTCTCTTGGCATATCTGCTGTTCTGCACGAAGAGCCAGCACTGGCAGGTATTACAGGATAATGGCCAGTGATGACCCTAGTGCTGACTCAGCAGATCTCATCTAACACAGCAGCACAAAAAGAGGTCACTAAAGCAAGACTGTTTGCTCTCATCCCTGTGCCCACCTGGTAATACCTTGTATCGGGACATCATGTTCTGCATTAGAATGTTCTGGGTGCTGTGTTCCATTGCACATTATCTAAATATCTCCTTTTGCGTACTCATGTATGCTCTATGTTGCTGATTTGTTACTGCTCTACTGTAAATTAATACTCTATGTTATGTTATTCTTGCAATTTATTTCATGTTGACGTGACCAGTTACAGGTTTGTCATCTCACACGCATCTGGCGTGACATTCATGCTTTCAGACTCACAAGAAATCTATATTAGTCCATTATAAACCTAAAATTAGCTGCATCAAACGCGTTGGGGTAATTTGCAAACCAGACTATTTACATGGTAATAAAACTGTTACGTACATGTAAATGCGTGTGTATGTGTGTGCAGATTTATCTCGAACTGAAAATCTCACTCCATTCCGCTGACAAAGTTGCCCACCCTATCATTACACTGAAACAAATCTGTACACGGGCTGAACTTGCTGAATAAAGTTGATTCTGATGGTTACTATTCCACAGTCCAAAGGGAGCGGCTGTTCTATCCCTACTGCATATCTGCTAACTTGGTGCTATCTGGACCACCTCTCTTACAAACTTGCCAAATAAGCAGGGGTACGAGCCGATACTGACACCACTGTAAAAACCCTGAATAATCAAAACAGTGATACCATATTCATAGAAACCCTATTTTGTCAGACAAGGTTAATTCCTGTCCCTTTCCCTGAAATGTAGTGTTAGGGTTACTAACGCAACATTTTCCCCTTAGAGACTGTAACTCTTCCTCAGAAAGAATAATTCTCGTCTTCTTTACGTATAACTGGTCAGGAGGATGTCAAACGATGTTACTTTCATGTGCAGTTTGGGGGAGCATTTTAGGAAATCTGTATGACCCGTGTTACTGTTCAGCCAACCTTTGCTAATGGCCATCAACCGATTGCTAACAGCTAACAGTTAATGGGTGATATTGCAGTTAATCCAGATCTAGCTCCCTTTGCTAACAGCAAATGGTTAGTAGCTAATGAAAGTAGGCGGGGTGAACCTGACCCCTGCTGAAAAATAAGACCTAAAAGCGAACAATTAACAGGAGATGATGGAAATCATCCTGATTCTCACTAACAGCTCTAGGGGAAATTCTCTTGCCCAACCAAATCTACATTTGAAGAGCAAATTTCCGAAACTCACTCTGTCCATGTTTTGTTGTTTGAGATGAGACCACCAATGACCTAAAGTCAGACTTCATCATCATATCTTACAGTGTCGGGATCCAAATCTCACTTACTCCTCATGTAATCCAACAGAGAATTTTTGTTAAATTACAGAAACGGTGCAGTAAGCTTGCTACACACAGCAAGTCTGTTCTAACGCGAGTGATATATTAGTATCCAAGTGCAACACAAAGCAGAATTGCATTTGTATCTGCGAGATTTTGGTTGGAGAGAAGAGCACTACACGGACTACGAAGTGATACGATCTCAGCGGGAAACACTACTTGTACGGAAAACAGTTTTCCAAGTGAACAGTGATGGCCGATTTGTGAAATTGGTTCTTTTCAGTGGATCAGTTGAACCGATCTTCAAATCTGAAAGAAGTAACTGAACTTTTTGACATCCAAGCATTTCACAAGTCAAAGTTTTAGATTATAAAATTCTGAAAATATTTGACAAATTATGTAAAAAAGCGCATAACCCTTTTTAAATTGACTTTGACTTGCTTTTCGTAGACTAGCCCTGTTGCTGTCAGTGCCCCTCTGTTGTGTTTACTCTGTCTGCCTCCCTGGGTACATGGTGGACGGGGCTCATGACTCCCGACTCTCAACAATCAACAACTCTGCGAGTTCGGTGCGCTCGGCTGAAACGGTTTCTAGGCAATCCAAAAAACCCATAGGAGATGTTTATGACAGCTACTGTCATTATTTCTTATTAAAAATGCAAATAATTACATTATTGGCTACTGGTATCACTGTTTTGATTATTCAATTCATTTTGTTTCTGTTAAGTTACTAATTTTAGTGGTTACATTCCCCTAACCCTATTTTTCCCATTGTATATGTGTATATACAATGCAAATAAGTTTTTGTTGTATATATTTATTATGATGTTCTCAGGAATGCATTAGTAACGTTGTAGCAGGACTGGCTGTACTTACTTATGAATTTGTTCTATTCTTGTAACCCGTAGACTGAATGAGTTTTGGAAATTTGGGCACGTCTGCTTAGAATGGTAGTATTTATGGACTCCTTGCCTGCACATTCGTTGTAAGTCCAGTCTACTATGGAGTTTAGCTTAGCTGCTTGGTAACACTGTCATTCATCATTTACTCTCATTGGAGCAAGCAGATGGACCAGAGATTAAAGAACAACAAAACAACCCATGCAGACCCATATAAGCTTGTATCCTAGAACAAAGTACCTACATTTCTGCAGCAAATAAATCCATTTACTGAATTGGGTAAAATGGAAAACGGTGAGCCATGTAAACGTCCGGACCAATCATGTGTAAGTACTGCATCGATAGTGCAGAGTGAAAAGCGTGGCCTCATTTTCTTCCCCGTATCAGGATTATTTTAGGCCATTTACAATGGAATCGTCACAGCCAGTTCAAACCAGTCCCTGGCTTTTAACAAAAGCGGCTCAGTCAGCGAAGGCGGCGGCATGCAGCTTTAATTCAAACATCGCAGTCAGACTGCAGGCAGGCAGCTACGAGTCTTTAACCGGATTCTGTCCACAGTGATTCTTGCACATTCTAGGTAGATGTTCAGCGTGTTGGGCAGTCAATATTTTAAGAAATGCTACGGATTTCAGGCCAGACGCCAGCTGATGTCAGGGCCGTCTGTACAGTACATGAGGCAGGTGAGATGGGCTTTCCTGTTCAGAGCCACTGCAAATTAGGCTGCAGCTTGGCCTTTACAAACTTACACTTATTCACTGACTGTTTGACTCTCCCACGGTCTCACTCTCACTCCTTCTCCAATTACCATCTCTTTCACTCTTCCTCCTTTCCATACTTTTCTTCAGTCTACTATCTCCTCCTCTCGTTTTGTCCCTCCATCGCTCACGCTGTCCTCTGCCCACATGGCATTAGGCCAAAGTGTTGTCTCCATCTCTCGCCACATCCCTCACTCATATCCCAGCTTCCTCGCAGAGTTTGTTGTTCAGGGTCATTTTCCATCCCCCGTCCCCCCCCACCCCCCACCTCATGCAAATCAATAGCAGTTATTTTAGGTGTGCTTTTCCAGAATGACGGCGACTGAGCCACATTCTGCATGCGTGTGTTTTGGGGGAAGACTGCAGGCGCGGACAGGATGCTACTCACCACTGTGTCTGCATATCCATTAATGGAGAAGAGGAGGGTCCCGATTTGAAGGAATACCTCATGGCTTTATCTGCCGCATTACTAAATCCCCCCCACCCCCGCTGCCCATATGTAGAACCCCACAGCTACAGTGAAAGTGCACAGAGGCATGAGCAAGCAGATACACGCGCACACCACAGGGAGTCAAACTGCGAGTCACCGCCAAGTTCAGAGTCAGCTACTTCGAAATAAAGACATTCTGCATAGCACTAAGATTTTCAGGCACTTAAATTTTGAATTTAAACATTGCATGATATTAATAATAAGGAATATATCCTCCCAAATTTGACATGTCTGTCTGATGCCCCGTAACTAACCCCAACAAAAAGCTACTGTTTTGTTCCATCTTCCTTCACGGCAGGGGCATTGTTAGGACCTTAAGGCATCAGGGCGTAGCCCAGAGACCCGATCTGTCTGAGGACCACCATATTAAATTGTCCCTCTTTGATGATGCGATGATCGCAGCACTATGAAGGCTTTGGGAAGCGCTGTCCTGCAGCAGGACTGCTGTGATGTACAGGATTCTGAAACTGAGAGCCTGGCTGTTAAAACACCTGAGTTAAACGAATCATCTGGGGCTCGTGCCGATTCAAACGGGTCTTCAGCCCCCAGCGCCCCAGACTTGTGACACGTCTGACCAGGTCATACCCATTAAAAACGCATCTCAAACAACCCAATTCCTTACTGCCAGAGCTTTGTCTCTGACTGTCAAAAGCCACATCTGCAAGCATAAAATCCTACCGCCGCTGAATCCACTCTGCCTCCAGAGCCTTGTCTCTATAGGAATACTCACAAATAAAACTGCATCCTCCACCCCACCAATGACAAGGATGCACATAAGCCACTCAGAAACCTCTCATATGTTCTCAGAGTTTTGTAAAACTAGACCAGCTTTCTACATGTTGGAGTTCCTTCTGGAACCCGGGTGTCTCCGCGGTAACGGGGGGTGTACCTGGTCCTTAGGCAGCTGTGCCAGCACGGCGAAACTGGAGATCTTGCTGCAGAGACATTTGGTGTGGACCGCCGGAGAGGGGAGTGTCTGGCAGCCCTCGGTGTCCCATGCATTTACGCCAGCCTCTCTGGATGGAGGGAGACACACACAGACACACAGAGGGTTACGAGGACGCACACACTGACAGACAGAAAGAGGTTTATCTGGAAAACTCAGAAATGAGGCTTGATCACATGCCCCGCCCCCAACCCCCAGCTGCATTGACTGGTGATTACCAAACCATCCACCTTCTGTGTGTATGTGTGTGTGAAGCCTATCCTAGGCATGGGATCCATGACTTTTCAGCCCTCCACCCCCAGGGGGGTCCTTTCGGCTGATCTCACCGAGTGAGGGCTTGGTTGCCCTCGGCAGAATTATCGCAATTGACTGGTTGTGGTTATTGTGAAAACTGAATATGTTATATATATATATTTTTTAAACGCATTGTGGAAATCATGCGACCCCCCATTTGGGGGTCACCGATGATTAGGGCGCATAACCTGTATGGTAACCAGTCTAGTGCACAGGATGATGCATTATGGCCAATTTTTAAACAGGACTTTTGAGTGTAAAATGAAACAGGAGAACCTAGGGGAGGACAAACATACCAGGGGACTCAAACCCACAACCTGCAGGTGTGAAGCAGCAGTCTGACAAGTGCTATGGCATACAGATGGTCTCAGAATCAGCCAGCGTTTTCTGCTTTGCCTTCTCTCCCACCTCCACCTCCTTCTGTATTATCACTTAACAAGGCTGTTCAAAATAACTCTAATGAGATACTTGACTTTGAAAGCAATCGATGTAAACATCCAGAACTACTAATCGACGACATTAGTAGTTTCATTATACTGCGAGCAGTAAGTGCTAACAGATGTTAAGGCTGGCCTGTACCAATGGAGAAGTGATCGGGGGGGGTTGGGAGGGCATGGCAGTTAGCACAGCAGAGGTGACTGATTACGTCCATGGGGCCAATGAGGTGCGTCACCCCGTGCTGGGTGGGCAGTGCTTATGCACACACTGACCTGACTCTTTACTCTGTTAATATAAACACTAATCATTGAACAAAAAATGTTTTTAATCAGCACTTTTACTCAGCGGTTTCCACTATCAAACAGCCTAAACACCAAACACACGTCAGATGTTTATCTGACCTCAAAGTCGTCCCTCCTAATTAACCCCCCTCCCCCTCCATATTCAGACCCCCAAGCCAGGTGATAAGCCCACCCGTCTCTGTCCACTAAGTGCTTAATAGGCAGTCAAAAAAATTACCTTCATGTTGGTGTCTAACTACCATAATTAGTCTGTCAAAGTGTGTCAGCTTAGCCATTTCAAAACCTCCTACAAAAAAGTCACCCCGTATCCGCAGTAACCAGCCAATACATCCATGTATTTTCGATTTGACCGCTAGCACACCTCATTTGGCTGATCAATACCTCACTGAGTTATTTAACTAATCAAGTTAACTAATTAATTGAGCTGTTGGTGAAATGCAACAAGGAGGTGTCCCCGCCCAGAGGTTTGGGACCTGAAGCCATTGTTCTAGCCAAATTTTTGGAGGACGGGAAATTCTTGTTAGTTTTTATGTTACTCTTAATCTGCATATGTTCTAATGTTATATTGCGTATTCAGAGCAAATACAGCCTTACTCCCCAGGTAAACAGATAACATTTTCTTCGACTGGCTAAGACTTTTTCACAGTACTGTAACTATTGGTGATATCGCCAGAACACAACAGTATCAAATACAGAAATACATTCAAATCGATGTTCATAGCCAAACAGTTAGAGTAAAATTAATAATCGTTATTATACCAATAAGAAACACTAACAAGGAAGTCAAAAGTCTGCCTCTGTGTACTTAATAAATAACACAAATGAAATTTAGCTTGGAGTGAGATGGTAAAGGTTCAGGTTAACTTCCTGCGGTGTGGTTACTGCCCGCCAGGTCCTGGAAGGCTCACGTCTGCAGCTAATGGGCCTTATTTTGCAAGGCCTTTTATTCTCGTTTGTTTTTCTTTCCTTTCATTTTAAAAACAGCTTAAAATGGTGACAATTAGTGCAAATGTTTTCTGCCAACTTTCTAACAATTCTCACTTGATGTGCTTTAATTCACTAGACTTTCCCGGCATAAGATATGCATACCCAAAGCCTTTGAATAAAAGCACAGGTTTGATCCCGGGCACTAATGAATTTCAATGTTAATGCAAAAAAATTCTAATACTCTAAAACTTGTGCAATTTCTTCTATGCTCATTTTTCATATTTTTAAATATAGTTTCATTAAATAAAAATATTGCCTATTACTGTTTTCAGTTGCTATTGGACCATACATATAGCAGAACACCTGAGAAACGTTAAACGTAAAGATAATCTCTCCCCCACAGTTATACTTGCCATAAAATATCAAAATTTAATATCCTCAAAGATGACATAGATATTATCAGTTCATAATATTTCGACAATAACAACTGGATGTGTCATATCACCTCCTATATTACTAGACGGCAGCTCAGCCCAGTATGCGTGTCAGTTTTCATTCCAGCTGGATTCTTAAATAATCAGCTTTGATTGAGCTGCAAGCAGATTACCGGGCCGCATCTGACATCGCGCGACAGCCCTGCGCCTAACCGGGCCGATGTGGACCGCCCCCTGCTGGCAAGAGAAAGTTTTAAAAGTGTCTAAGCAACTTCGGGCACTGCTGAAAGCCCTGTTTCCTTGTGCTGATTTCTAGGACAACGCAGGTACTCGTGAGGACTGCAGTCTCAAAGGCTGCCCGCGCTTGGCATGTGACACCAGGTGGGACGAGATCCACAGCTCAGTGCTGAGCTACACCAAAAGTGTCATGAGCTTTCAGCGTGAACTGCTTCAAGCAATCCGGGCTGCAGGCTCAGGTCTATTTCTATACTTCACTCTATGCAATACATATATATTTATATGGCTCAAATTAATTATACAATTTCTTTGTAAAAATACCAAGGTATGCCTGCGCTAATGAAAACATTAAGAAATAGTCTTTCACTTTACTCTAAACTTATTGGCTTATAGTCCTTAGTATTACAGGGCAGCTTCAACTAAATTAAGAATAATTTAGTGCTCTATTAATCGATTGCTTAAAGGCAAAGAATAATGGGCTATCAGTGTAACAGTATACTCTTGCATTAGAAGATGGTTTAGGGAAATAAGTTAATAAAATTGTGTTTTGTATGTCCTATAATTGGGGAATAAAATAGTATGTTACTGAGAAAACATTGAGTTTAGAAAGTGCTGGAACTTGCGCAGTCAAACAGCACAAGTGTCCATCTGCATTATAGTAGAATACACAGGTAGGGACCTCCTAGCCGGAATATGCAGGTACGGTCCTCCTAGCCGGAAAATGCAGGTACGGTCCTCCCAGCCGGAATATGCAGGTACGGTCCTCCCAGCCGGAATATGCGGGTAGGGAACTCCTAGGCAGAATATACAGGTAGGGAACTCCTAGCCAGAATATACAGGTAGGGAACTCCTAGCCAGAATATACAGGTAGGGTTCACCTAGCCAGAATATGCAGGTAGGGTTCTCTTAGCCAGAATATGCAGGTACTGTAGGGAACTCCTAGCCAGAATGTACAGGTAGGGAACTCCTAGCCAGAATGTACAGGTAGGGTCCTTCTAGCCAGAATATGCAGGTAGGGTCCTTCTAGCCAGAATATGCAGGTATGGTCCTTCTAGCCAGAATATGCAGGTATGGTCCTTCTAGCCAGAATATGCAGGTATGGTCCTTCTAGCCAGAATATGCAGGTAGGGTCCTT